CTGCATTCAGGAACAGGGAAAAGCAATACTTGCTTTGAAGAATCACATTTCTACTCAGTCTCCTGATCTCCTGAGGTTTTTAGATTTTAAATATTTATGTGGGATTAATTAAAGGTAGTTGACTATATCTGTCATTCCATTCTTTTGACATTATGTGAATATTTTACTGGAAAATAAGATTAATAAATTGTTAAAGTTTTTAAAATTCTGGTTTTATGTTGAGTCTCCTGCTGCCTATTTGTAGATTACACCAGCCACCAGGTCCGTGACCCAGGCTGGAATGCAGTGGCTCATGGCACCCTCAATCTGCAATCCTCCCGCCTCAGCCTCCCAAGAAGCTAGAACCACAGGTACACACCACCACACTCGGCTAATTTTTTAATGTTGCAGAGACAGGGTCTCACTATGTTGCCCAGGCTGGTCTCAAACTCCCATAATCCAGCCGTGTAGGAAACCTGAGATGCAGTGGGCCAGGCGGTATTTTAAAACACTGCAAGGAGTACAGTGCTAAGAACTGTAATGCTCAGGAAATCTTACAGCGTCCTCCTTGGGAGGGTCCAGTGTGAGGTGAGAGGATGACACGTCCACGGCTCCTTGATCACCATGATGTCCACCTCATAGTCTTGTCTCTTGGCTCTTCCTCTTCCCAAGATAAACATATTCAGCCTGAAAGCAAACATGAGAAGGTGGAGCTTTTTTCAATCCCCTCAAAAACCGCAAAAACAGTTTGATGCTATTTGTAGTATACAGCCCTTCAGACCTGCATTTCAGCAGCGTGTAAAACAGAACTAAGCTGCTACGTTTGCCTGAAATATACTGATGCCATGGTCGACACAGTCCAAAGTAAACTTTTCATGTATCTATGAAAAGAAAAATTAATTTTTGAGACAGTTTCACTCTTGTTGCTCAGGCTGGAGTGCAATGGTGCAATCTCGGCTCACCACAACCTCTGCCCTCCCCAGTTCAAGTGATTCTCCTGCCTCAGCCCCCTGAGTAGTGGGATTACAGGTTTCCACCACCACGCCCAGCTAATATTTTGTATTTTTAGTAGAGATGGGTTTCACCAGGTTGGCCAGGCTGGTCTCAAACTCCTGACCTCAGGTGATCCACCACCTCGGCCTCCCAAAGTTAGATATGTGTGCCGTGTGTGTGTGTATACATATATAATATTATATAATAATTTGAGTAGAGTCTTGC